TTTTCATGTTCTGTAAATTGTATTTAAAATAAAGCTGCTGCTGTTGATCATTCTGTTTTCATAAACCCCACCCCCCAAGGCCAATACTCTAGGGAAACACTTTTTTGAAGATGTTCTTGATAAAACAATTGACTGTTAGTAACTCAGTCTAAAATGTTTGCATCTGTTTAATCAGATGTCATATTATATACCTCTGTATAACCATGTTAATATTTTTGTAGTACAAAGTACAGTACACGTTTTTCTCATTTTATCAAAATTTGAACATTTTTGTTTCGGGCAGGCAACTTTTCATGTCGGGCAGGTAACATTTGTTGTGGGCAGGTAAAAAAATAAAATCTTGTCGAACCCTGAGACTGAGTGTTTTTTTTTTATTATTATTATTTTTACAAATCAGGTGTCGCAGTAAATAAATGGAACAGAACACAAATCTGTTCCCTCACTAACAAGTGATGCGAAGCAACATCTCCTCTCTTAGCTGATTACAGATCTCATGCAGGCAAAACCAACCTTGTCGAACTTGACTCTGAATTCTCGTCCGCACTCCAGCGGGGTGGTGAAGGCGTCCAGGTCCTGACCCCAGAAGGCGAAGAATTTCTCGATGCGAAGGCTCCTCAGGGCGTAGTAGCCGGCGTTACGAATGCCATACTTCTGCCCCACGGACATCACCTCATTGTACACGTGCAGAGCATACTGCAAGTGAGCAGAAACACACACACACACACACACCAGGGTTACACACCACAGCAGACACTGGTTTCTAGCGTTACACATGCAACGTTAGTTGATGGGGGAAAAAAATAAAACGTCTCGTCTAAATAATGGCTGTGTGCGTTGCAGGGTGCACCTCGATTGGGATGTAGAGCATGAAACCCGGTTCTCCGGTGTGAGTCATGCTCATCACTCTGATCCCGTTGGCGTAACCCACGCTCATTTCCTGTTAACACACACACACACACACACACAGTCAATTACCGTTCCTGGAAATATCAACAAAAGGAAAAAAAGTAAACTAAACAAATCATCAGTTGGCTTCTTTTTTTTACCTTGCAGAACATGGAAGGGAAATGCTCAGGGGTCATGGAAACATACGAYAACTCAGCCAGGACGTCCATTGCACGGGGTCCAATCAGGTTTAAAGCTAATAGTAAAAGAAATGAGTTATGAACATGAGGTGTGTATAATGAGATATCTCCATATTTGTGATCCTGTTATGTGTAGATACAGAAAAAAGGCCTTGAACTGTTCACGTCGTACACTGTGTTCACAGATAATTGTGCCGATTTTTGGCCCGATTTTGCCCTTCTACAATTTTAAAGACTCTCCGATTAGCGTGATGGCTCTAAAGATAATCTTAGGAGATATTCCTGCCRTGTGTGGTGTGTTAAAAGTGATCTAGTTGGCTCAGACGACATTCAACATGTTGGACTGTCGGTCCGATATCCCAGTGTGTGTGGCGTCCCCTGAGTACAAACGAGCTCGCAGCCTGTTGAATATGACGTGTAGCCAATCAGAAAATGAGATGACGTAAACACGGAGGAGAATCCGAAATACTGAAGACAAAAAAAACTGCAATGGAGCACCAGAAAGTCTTTTTGTTTTTCCTCAGTTAAAATATTCCACAAACTATCACCGTCACTTTTTTCTCATCAGCCGTGTTTATTTACTCTGAACTCACGTTTGACCSAGAGGTCGCTCGAGATTTCCCATCTGACATCTGAATGTCCAGGAGTGAAATACGTTTGTGTGTTGATTTTTTTTTCCATGTGGATGCACACCACACACTATAATCGTATCGTGTGCAATTAATCGTCAGTAAAACTTTCAACAATTAATATTTGGTGCTTTGCCTTTAGTGGAATTAGTTCCTCATGACGACGTGTTTCTGTGTGCGACTCACTCACTTTAAAGTGTGCATGTGAGCCTGTGGCATACTGTTCCTAAAGATTCTGCTGCCACTCCATATTCAGCAGCTTAATATGTTAACCTGTTGAAATGAAGGTTAGTTGGACTGATGATTTCTGAGTATAATTTTCAAACACAGGGTAATTGCTTTAGAGTCAAAAACATGTAACTGTCATCTAATAATTGTTAAATAAAAAGTTATTGGCTAAATGCCGCGATTAATTGCTTTTTTTTTTTTTTTTTTGCAAATATTGCCCAACCCTACTGTAGGACCAAACCTGTTATATCTGTGATTTTTTGCAGTCACGTGTCGGGTCTCTCAGGTTTTGAAAATTAACTGACAGTTTTAAAATCTTGCCGTGTGAACCAGACATAAAAGAAGTAGCTAAATCAGAAATCTATAAATCACATTTTACAACCGTCACCAGCACAATTCTATTTTTCCAGTCTGATTAACAAACAAAAACACRGCGACTTTAATCGCTGAGCTGCTACTTTGTTTTATTTTAAACCGTTTGTACGATGGCCCTAAACAGATTCATAAAGGCAGAGCACCAGCRACGTTTCTGCTGCACACCTGTGTACTTCCAGCTGACATCCTCTAGGTGGAGGTGTGGGTCGTTGGGCATGTGCTTCTTTATCCAGGACCAACAGTGGACCTGCTGGTCTGTCGGAGAGATGATGAAGAAACTAAAAGGAAAAAAAAAAACATTTGAACCGTTCTCCTACTTTGGTTGTTTGGAGTCATGATCAACTAAACAGCTGTAGAGTGATCGCTCAGACTTTTCCAACCTGTTTTTGCTGAGGCGGACCACGCTGCAGTCGTTCTCGTAGCCCCCTCTTTCATTCAGCATGCCGGTGTGGACGATGTGTCCAACAGGAACATCCAGGTCGTTAGCACACAGGTACTGCAGCAGCTYCAAAGCCTGGTCCCCCGTTGACTGAGACAGCAGGACAGAGCAGAGTGGAAACACTCACTTTAACACTGTACACGCATTGCTTTCAATTCTGAAGAGTTTTTAAACACATCTTTTTGATAATTTGTTACCAACAGAGTGAGAACATGTTCTTTACTGGTTCTTGAGCTTGGAGCCCCTGAGGACAACATCTCTAAATACACCAGAACACTTTATAAGATGTGTGTGGTGCGTCGTGACTCACAGTCAGCTCAAACTTGGTGAAGGATGACATGTCGATGACACAAACAGCTTCTTTGCAGCATTTCACTTCTGCTCCAACGATGTCGAACCAGTCTGGCTTGTAGAAGGTTTTACTCTGATCCAGAGACAGTAGATCTACAAAGAAGTACAAAAGAATCCCCATCAAGTAGAAGTATGTAATGTCACTGTAAAAAGCCTTTAAACACCTGCTCTGAAAATCCTTGGAAATCTGTGCTGCTTTACAAATCACACGACAGTAAAAGCTCCTGTTTTTCTGTGTAATCTGTTCACCTGTTTGCTAAGAAGTCATAAAAGCGCGCTCAGTATTACAAATTCTTGGAAATCTGTTTTACAAGTTACCTTCAGTTACATAACATTACTGCCAAGGGAAATTGTTTTTACCAAAAACATTCATTTTAACACTGCTATTAAAATGAGTGTTTTACCAAAAACACTCATTTTAATAGCAGTGTTAGCAGGTGAGTCACACAGTTAGTGACTGAACTTAAACCCTTTTTTTTTTACTATCAACCTTACTGTAAATAGATTAAAAAAGAAAAACACGTTTAAAAAAAGAGTCTCATCACTGAGAATATTGCACCTTTCCCAGGAGGAACAAAGTATTTGGGCCTTTCGAAGCCGTGCTTCTCCATCCAGCGAGCCCCCTGGGTGTCCAGACGGTCATAGAGGGGGCTCGTCCTCAGCTGACGCCCAGTCTGGAAGTCCCACCGAGGAACCTTCAGTTCATACAGCAAGGCTGGACAGACACACATGCACAATCAAAAATTACTGAAGCAAGAAAAACATTGCCCTGTAGGGGATGGTGAAGGTAAATATAACTCTTCATCTTGAGTTTTGTGCTTGAGGCCCAGGTGACTAAAGGATTTAGATAAAAAGAATATATATACACTCACCGGCCACTTTATTAGGTACACCTGTCCAACTGCTCGTTAACACTTAATTTCTAATCAGCCAATCACATGGCGGCAACTCARTGCATTTAGGCATGTAGACATGGTCAAGACAATCTCCTGCAGTTCAAACCGAGCATCAGTAWKGGGAAGAAAGGTGATTTGAGTGCCTTTGAACGTGGCATGGTTGTTGGTGCCAGAAGGGCTGGTCTGAGTATTTCAGAAACTGCTGATCTACTGGGATTTTCACGCACAACCATCTCTAGGGTTTACAGAGAATGGTCCGAAAAAGAAAAAACATCCAGTGAGCGGCAGTCCTGTGGGCGGAAATGCCTTGTTGATGCCAGAGGTCAGAGGAGAATGGGCAGACTGGTTCGAGCTGATAGAAAGGCAACAGTGACTCAAATAACCACCCGTTACAACCGAGGTAGGCAGAAGAGCATCTCTGAACACACAACATGTCGAACTTTGAGGCAGATGGGCTTCAGCAGCAGAAGACCACACCGGGTGCCACTCCTTTCAGCTAAGAACAGGAAACTGAGGCTACAATTTGCACAAGCTCATCGAAATTGGACAAGAGAAGATTGGAAAAACGTTGCCTGGTCTGATGAGTCTCGATTTCTGCTGCGACATTCGGATGGTAGTGTCAGAATTTGGCGTCAACAACATGAAAGCATGGATCCATCCTGCCTTGTATCAACGGTTCAGGCTGGTGGTGGTGGTGTCATGGTGTGGGGAATCTTTTCTTGGCACTCTTTGGGCCCCTTGGTACCAATTGAGCATCGTTGCAACGCCACAGCSTACCTGAGTATTGTTGCTGACCATGTCCATCCCTTTATGACCACAATGTACCCAACATCTGATGGCTACTTTCAGCAGGATAATGTGCCATGTCATAAAGCTGGAATCATCTCAGACTGGTTTCTTGAACATGACAATGAGTTCACTGTACTCAAATGGCCTCCACAGTCACCAGATCTCAATCCAATAGAGCATCTTTGGGATGTGGTGGAACGGGAGATTCGCATCATGGATGTGCAGCCGACAAATCTGCGGCAACTGTGTGATGCCATCATGTCAATATGGACCAAAATCTCTGAGGAATGCTTCCAGCACCTTGTTGAATCTATGCCACGAAGAATGGAGGCAGTTCTGAAGGCAAAAGGGGGTCCAACCCGTTACTAGTGTGGTGTACCTAATAAAGTGGCCGGTGAGTGTATATATCATTTTAAGAAAGGCTACTGCTCACGCATGACTTCCATCACTCTGTGCCGCAGGAAGGTTCGGCTGCTCTGCAGGTTGCCAAAGCGTTTGATGTCCAGCGGCCAAACATTGGCAGTGGGGTAACCGTAGGTCATCCACTCTGCCAGGTACCTGCCCAACAAAATACACAACAACACACAACAGGCTGTTTGTGCTTCACTGGACAATCAATCAGCATGAGGACATCACAGTGCTGGTCACTGAAACTCAAGTGTCAGCTGCCCTTTTCCTGAAATATAATGTAACAAATAACAAAATAACATTCTGTCCTATGATCTAAGGTTAGGCAGCATTGATCTTTTTAATACAGACATATTATCTTCAGATAATACCATGGTATAGTATTACCAAGGTAGGGTGGGAAGAGGCGGGGCTTTGGAGTAAACGCTCTCGCCGTCTCTTCGTCATTTGACTTCATTCAAGTTTCGCGTCTTTTGGATTTTCTTTTTCCTGTCGATTTTTTGGCACTTTTTTGAAATTATTTTGAGCTTCAGTCCAAAAGGAGGTTGGAATTTTTAAAAAAAATTTTGGATCGAGAGAAAAATGAGATTGACGATGGATTGAGATGTTTTTTTTTCTACGAGACGACCATGTTTCCTGCTGCTGCAACCCGCAAACAGGACAGTCATGTTCAGAAATAAAAGCGGCGTCTACTATTTATCATAACTCTGGTTTTATTTGACCTATCAACACAATTTGAAAACTGGTTTATAGTTTGAAGTCTCTGCTTTTGACACAAATTGAAACAGAGTCTCAGAAAAGGTGCATCTTTCTGGCTAGAAAGCCTTAAACAGGTGATGTTCCAGAGCTTTAATATACCGTCACAATTTTAAAATTCTGTCACTATATTTCAATACCAAGTTATACCACAATACCGTCATACCACCCAACCCTAATATGACCCACCAAATAATGCCATTAATTGTTGAACAAAATTCAATCCGGCTTTTAAAACCACACATTATAGAAAAACACAACTGTAAAGTCTTCCTTACTTGCCAGCTCCTCCTGCGAAGGTTAAACCCGAGGAGTTCATCCCTGCCAGCACGTAGTACCCCGACACCCCTGGCGTCTCCCCCATCAGGCAGCGCATATCAGGTGTGAAGGATTCTGGACAGTTGATCAGCTGGTGGATCTCAGATGACTCAAGACTCGGCATTCTCCTCAACATGCCGCTGAGAATGGGCTCTGAAAGCAAAAACAGTGAGACCTTATGTGATGCACTTTCTAATGTCCTGTAGTGAACAAAGCAGACCATGCTAACAAAATAAAATAAAACAGCAGGTCTTAGAATCCCTTTAAAACAAAGTTTATTCTAGTGAATGGCACAATCACTGTAATGTTTAACGGTAAATATTCCTCAGAAAAATTYATGAAACATGATATTTGTTTTAAACTACACATAGCCCCTGTTAGAGGGGTGTAGGAGTGAGCAGTTTGCACCACGTTGCTAGTCAGAGAAACTCAGATGTTTAAGGCAAAGAAATGCTGGAAGACGATGCAACTTTTGGCTTTTAGCTTTTGTTTTTCATGTAAATACAACCAAATCAAGGGTGTGGTTCATGTCTAACACTTTTCGCCTGAAGACAACACTCATCTGGAAACTCTCAGAAAAGTCCTACATCATTCAAAACTTCCTGGCACAATTGATGAATAATGAAATTTAGTTTACTGGTACTTACTAAGAGGAAAATAACGTATGGATTTTCACTTTAGTGTAGCTAAAATAACAGAATTAAATCTAAGACTATCTTTTCGGTTCCAAGAAGCRGACTTTTGAGGATGAAGACTTGTGTTAAAAAGCTGCAAGTGTGAAGTGACGAATGAGCCTGGCCATGCGTGTTGTTACTTTTTCCAGTTCCAGTTTGTCTTGAATAATGACAGCCTGTCGAACTACATGAAGGCTATCAAGTTACCACCTTCAGGCCAAGGACAAACAAGTGCATGAGTGTGTGGGTACGTACGCAGTCTTTGCTGTACTGAGGCCAAAACATTTTAAATTACCAGAAACTGAACAGAAGCAACCAGAGACGTTCAGTCTTAGTATTAAASGTTTATGTTACAATGTAAATATAATTTCCCCAACCATCAAAAACAACTAAGGACACAGTGACACTAATTATTAACCTTCTCACTTACCAAAGTGATCCCAGTCCTCCTGCATGTTCTGGATCTCCAGCTGGTTGCGGCCTTCGGTGAAGATGGGTTTGGGGTTCTTCTCAAAACCTCCAAACAGAAGGCCTCCTTGCCAGGGTCTGGCATATATCCTCCCATCCATATCGATTACCACTGGAGACAAAACACACACTCAGTCCAACCGCCTCCTCTCAACTTTAACAACTATCACTGAAGTTTCACCTCACTATCCATACGTATCACTAGAAAGCTTCAGCCTGTTTTCTACTTACTTCTTTTGAACAGCGGCTAAAAAGACCAACTGTTACTCTCCAACATGAAATGAAGATTAAATTAATAATAGGTGTGTTTGTTTTATGAGACCTGGCGTGTTGGGGGAAAGTGGCTCCTGAAGAGGTTTGGTGAGGAGGTAGAAGTGCTCGCAGCCATGGAGGGGAACAGAAACCTTCACCTCACTGGCCTGACCCAGCTCATAGGCCCACTGCAGCAGAAACCAACAGCAAATCATCACAAGTGTTAAAGCGGTACCGTTCTGAACTTATCCTCCCTCCGAGCTTTACCTGACCAGCACAGTTGACGAAATGTTCACACTCAATGGAGCCACAGTCGGTCTCTACAGCTGTCACCTGGCCCTTTTCCACCTGGACCTGCTGTACACTGGTTCGCTCCAGGATCTGAACCCCTGGACCCAAAAGAGAGCCAAAGAGACTAAAGGTTAAGTAAAAGAAATATATGAGCAGCCGGATCAGGGTTAGGGACGAACGTAAAATATTTTACCTAAAGCACTTGTGGACTGAGGTTACCTTGTCCTGCAGCAGCAACAGCCAGGGCGTGATTTACATCAGAGGAGGACACCACAGCATCAGCAGGGAGGTGGAGCGCCCCCACCAGGTCGTGAATGTTAACAAGAGGGTGAAGTTTGGCCACTTCTTTAGGTTTAATAACATTACAGCTGATTCCCAACACCCTGAGAAGAAAACGAACGGTTTAAGGTCATTTATATTAGACACAAACATCCATACAGACTCTGGCACTTTCTCTAAGTACTGACGTGAGGTCTTACTTCAGTCTTGATGCCAGACGTTTGAGAGAAATGAAGCGGTCTTGATTTTGAGCCAGACACAAAGAACCTGTCCTCACATAACCTGCAAAACACACCCATCACATGACTTCAGCCTCAGGAGACACATTAAATCTTAATTATCATTCTAGTCTTGATAAAAGAAAAAGAACTAAGTACAGGTTGCATCAATGATTTTATAAATTTCATCCATTGTATGAAAGTAAAAACAAACGTARACCAGATGGACCCATACACTGTCTTTAGTCATACAGTTTATATAGAACCACAAACTGTAAAATCCTTCACAAAATGATTAAAAACTTTCCAGTTTTGTCATTTCTATGACACTAATTGATTTGAGTTATTTCTAATGATTTTAGATATTTATTTCTGCTGCTTTCATGACTTTTGTGGTGCAGAACATTGAGATTTACAAATGTTAAGTGTGCTATAAATGAAATCTATTATTATTATTATTATTATTATTATTGGTAGTAGTAGTAGTATCTATGTGAGTAAGAGCAAATAAAAAGAATAAAACCCAAAACGAACCGGAGCAATTAACAACAATAAAAGCAGCTACTGCATTTTATTGTTAAATGCATAAAATTATGTAACTACAAATCATGTTAAAAATAAAGCTGTCACAAGTTGCAAAATTATATTTTTACAAATAAAAACTTAAACTTGCACTTCCTGTTTTAGACACTTTGCTTGTAAAAAGTCCTACTGGGCATCAACTCTGACACTTCACCTCATCCAGTGTTTTCTCTGACAGGATTTGCAAAAATCACTAGATAAATGGAAAAGAAAATAAAACCGTCAAATGTAATAGTGATGCGTGTTTGTATCTACCAGCGAGCCTATAGATAAGCCTCTGTTACCGACCCACAATGCAGTGCCGCAGAAAACTTTGAAATAGTCTATCAATGGTAATTATGAAGATGTCTGACCTGTTTTAATTCCCGTCTCCTCTTCCAGTTGCTGATAAAGACTAATGGAGTATTTGGCCATCTGGCTCTCAATAGATAAAGGTTTGGCCATGCTCACAATGCCAGCACACAGCCTGGTTGATCCCGCACCAAGTCTTGAGAAAAACAGAAGTATTAGTGCAGTAATATCACATCAGACTGTTCTCTTTGCATACCAACATAACACAATATTGCTTTTAAAGATGAACAAAACTGCTCAATGTCTCCAACCAACAGCAGTCATGAGAACAGATTCTACACCCACCAAAACAAGAGCTTAGCTTCATTTATTGAGTTAAAAGGTTGAAGTCCCAATTTAAGTCTTTTTTTCATCTCACCTGCCCTGTTCAAGCAGCACAATATCAGTCCATCCCAGTTTGGCCAAGTGGTAGGCCACCGATGTTCCCACAATCCCCCCTCCACAGATCACCACCCGGGCCTGGCTGGGCAGAGGGGGCTGCTGGGAGTCCCTGCTGAYTGCCAAACACCGGGGGGAGGTCCAGAGGGCCCTGCCCACCAGCCTGAGCCCCGCCTGAGGAGGCAGCAGCCTGGGGAGCAGGGCAGGGGACAGAGCCCTGGAGCTCCGCACACAGCTGCACATAGCTGTGCTTTCTTAAAAAAAAAAAAAAAACATGTCACAGTTCACAAAGCAAGGACCGGTCAGGATTGCAAACCTGGCTGACGTCAGTAAAAGGTGCTAAACTGATAAGTAGTCAGGGACTCGATCATTTAGTTGCTGCTAATACAGGTTAATACACACTAACACGTTATTATTCGCTTTAATTGTCAGCTCCTTAGAAAACAGCAAGCTTAAAACAAGAAACGGATCAAAACGAAAGGTTATCTATGTTCATTTATTACAGATCTGATAGGTCCACTGCTTCTTGCTTGTAAACTATAATAACCTTAGCAAAACCACTAGCTCTAGTTGTCGCTTTGTTAAATATTGTCTTTGAAAAACCTCGGAAACTTTAGCTGAAAGGTTAGGAACTCCTTTAACCTGCTCAGAGGTATGTGAAACATGTCTTGATATTTGAACGGGTTCGTGCTTGTGAGGAAAGTTAGCATGAACGAGTAAATAGTGCTGTAAAACTGCGTAGCTTGTGCTGCTAGCTAATCTCGGTTACTTTGTTTGCTGGGTAACTAAACTGAATAAATAATGAACTCGGTGGTTTTTCAGGTGTTCACCACCTCAAACTTACCTGGTCAACCAAACCCTGGCGTTGTGATGGTTGAAAAACAGACGTGATAATCAGAAAATGTCTGGGATATGACTGAAGTCTTCAGATATGTCAAGAACGCCGGATGAGAAAAGCCACTTCCGATTTGACCCTTCAAAGTTAAAGCAT